GAAACTTAGGGAGGAAAGGGTTTGTTTGGTGCACACATCCTGTTCCCAGCCCATCACTGATGAAAGCCAAGGAGGGAATTCAATCAGTGCAGGAACCTAGAAGCAGAAATTGAACCGAGGCCATATAGGAGTGCTTGCAACCCACGATTTGCTCATCCTGACTTCCTATATGACCTAGGACCACATGCTCAAGGGGGGCACTGCCTACAGTGTGCTGAGCCCTTCCAACCAATCGTTACTCTAGAAAATGCCTCACAGACTTGCCTACAGACCAGTCTGATGGAGGCATTTCTTAGGTTCTCTCTTCCCAGATGACCCTAGCTAATATCGCATTGAGAAACAAAACAAAACAAAAGCTAGAAACAAAAACCAACGTGTCCTTTAAATTACCTCTATTTGTGTATCTTATCACAATGCCAGGGAAAGAAACTGTGAGAACAGTCTGTGGAAATTTAATCACCTGAACCATTGTGTGCTAAGGGGAAGACAATGGGCACAAGGTATGACTGGATGGTCCTCGCATTCTCATGGAGGCCTGCAACGGGGAGGGGAGGGATTTTATCAAAGCATAAGTTTAGATTATATAGAAATGAGACCCAGAGAGACAGGCAAAGGAGATATGGGTGTGTGCTGTGAGAGTTGCGACATTTTCTACTCTTTGAACTGAGGACATTGGCCATGCTTGGCAGGCTCTGCCACTGTACCATATTACCTAATTCAGATTTTGTTTTTCTGGAAACCTGGGGTCACTGTTCAGCTTTCATCCCCCCCTGTCCCCCAGTGCTGGTGATTCTCTGGCTCACCAATGCCAGAGAAGTGCTTAAGCAGTGAGTCACATCTCCAGCATGACCCTCACCCGGCTCTCAAGAATAGCTTGTTAATCTATTTGTTAAAAGAACTCCATGGCTCAGTAATCAGAGGGTGTGGCAGAATCCACTGGACAGAAGAATGATCTGACTCTTATTTTAAATATCAATATTTACTGCTCACTGAAAGCAAAAGCTTATTAATTATTTAAAACTTTAGATTTCAAGAGTTACATAGAAGAAAAGATACTGTAGGAGGTTAATAAGATATGTTAGCAGACTTTCGCTGTCAGTAATATCTTTGTTCAATCAACGAAATCCCAGGCCATTAGCTAGTAGCCCCTGAATCATCAGGGGAACCGATCTCTTCGTGGTAACTCAGAGGCTGTAAGATAGCAGTCCTACTACTCACACGCCTGGTCTCTCATATTGAGTGAAGCCACAGGAAAGGGGGCAGTAGCCCCACATAGAAAATGTGCTTTGCAGTGTGACCTCTCTACTGCCTGCAAAGATCAGAGTGCCAGTCCTGACAGCCACAGCACGGAGCACACGGGCTTCATCTCCTCACCACTCAAAGAGGAAATGCACTTGGAAGTTTGCAGAGTTGTCCAAACTGTAGGTCCAGTCTGAGCAAACTGACTGCCCTTGGTGACCTCCTAGCCCTCAAGTTTCATCTGTCTTTAGGGATATATCTTCTTACTGTTGCCTTTCCTCCCAGTGTACATGCTAGTTTAGTTCAACCCCCACCGAACTGCCCTAAGAGATACAACAACACATAAAAGAAACTGTCTCTGTCTTTGAGGCTTAGTATTGGTACCTTTCATGGACAATACCCATAAATATCGGGGAGGCCATGATTCAATAGTTTCTTCTCATTACTAGATGCGTACAACCTTGGCCATGCTGCTTTTGGACACATTGGTTTTCATTTTCTTTCACTCCATTTTAAGGCTTGGACTAATTTAAAACATAAACTATTCTGAGTTTGTCTCACTAACTATTCTAAATTGAAACTTGTAAGCTTCTTAGGCATGTCTGTGTATGTGCATTATATGTATGTATGCATGTGTGCATTATACATACACATGCATACGTCTCTCTCTCTCTCTCTCTCTCTCTCTCTCTCTCTCTCTCTCTCTCTCTCTCTCTGTGTGTGTGCATTTGTTTTTCTGAGTGCTCTGTAGCCTGAGGACATATCAAGACAGATCTCTTCAGGTAGTGCCCTATCATACAGGGAGACTGAAGCTACACTTTGTTTATGGAGTCTGTGACATTCTTTTCCTCCCCCTTCCCTTGTTGCACTTTCCCCATAGAAGTCAGTACCAGCTTTTCATAAAAACCCCAAGAAGAGAACAATTCATTCTTGAAGCACAAGGAAGTTAGTTAAAGATTTATCTGCCAGGGGCACTGCAGTTCATAAGGACCATCATATTAAGGATGAAACTCGATGCTTAATCATGATTATCAACTTGACAGGATTCAGAATCACCATGAAAACACACCTGTAGGCATGTCTGTGAGCTTTTTCTAAACTTGATTGAGGTGGGAGACTCCCTAAATGTGGGCAGCACTATTTCATTGGCTCAGGTCTTAGGCTGTATAAAGGAGGAAGGAGCAGAGAATGCTATTTTCTCTTCTTTCCCAATGGGAGAGCAATATGATCAGGTACCTCCTACTCCTGCCTCAGTATCTTCCCTGCAGGGATAGACTGTGTCTTCCAAGAGTGAATAAACCCTTCCTCCTTTAAGCTGGGAATTTTGCCACTGCAACAAGGAACAGCATCTAGTCAAAACTAGAACCAATGGGTTTTCTTTTTGAGGTGTGTGTGTGTGTGTGTGTGTGTGTGTGTGTGTGTGTGTGTGTGTGTATGCATACCTGTGTGGAGGTTGGAGGACAACTTGTGGCAATCAGTTTTGTTCTTTCCTTCTATCAAGTGGATTCTGGAAATGCAAATCACATCCTCGGGCTTAGTGGCAAGTCCTTTTGCCTGCTGAGCTATCTTGAAAGCCCAAAAAGTGACTTAATATTGGGACTGAGAAAGAGCAAAGTCAGTGAAAAAAAGGAGAGCCTTGGGCTACAGCATGGTGGGGAATGTGAGGGTAGGCATCTTTGAGGGAGCTTCACTTGAGACTGACAGAAACAAACAAACTCTCCTTGTTTGCATTTGTGCTTTGGGACAGCATCTTAAAGCTGCCACACAAAGATCTTTATATTTCATTTGTGGTGCTTTAAGCATTGGAGGGTGGAGGGAGTTCACTATTTCTATTTGATGTCAGAATGGGGAGCTTTCTCCCCCCGAGTCTGTTGGAAGATGTCAGCAGATCATTTTGTAATGGCAGTGATGAGGGCAGTAAGTGGGTCACTCCATCAAAGGAACACAGCTTTGTGGCTAGCCCTTATTTCTTGTTTCTTTGTGAACCAATTTTTTAGACTTAAGAAACACACACTGATGAATAGTAAATTTTCATATCACCCAGAGGCAGCCATAAAGATAATGGACTGTCATTTGCCGTGGGGAGAAAAACAGTGTTTTGTTTTGTTCAGGGGAACAAGAATGAAAGAGGCAAACTTAATCAACAATAAAGAGGTACGCATTAAAATTCAGAGCTCAAAATTTGGTCATAGCAATAGTGTATTCCATAAATACCTTTGGTGGGTTATATATGTCAGTGCAAAGAATTAGATTTTTACATGAAAAGAGAAAGCAGTAATTACGGTGTGTGTGTGTGTGTGTGTGTGTGTTTCTGTCCATTAACAAACTTCATAGAACTTGCTGGCATCATTATCTGATCAATATGTAGGCAGTCCTAGCATAAATAATTCACACATCTGTCTTTTCCTTGTATTGCTGATGAATGGGATGCTTGCTTCCCATATCTCTCAGCAGGAATTTTACTGCGAAACTTCTGTGGAGGGAATGTGCTAGGATCTCAGTGTCTGTGATTAGGGATTTCCTTTTGAGTGTGATACAGTCATTTCCATTTTCCCATGGCTAGGACTTCTGTCAGAAAACAGATACCCTTTTATCTTTACATACAGTTAGACACATAGGAACAGAAGGTTTGATGTTTTTGAAACCCTCAGTCAAAACCCAATAAGAACTCTTAAGATGAACTGAGTCCCAGTGCTCAGCTACAGGTGAGTGTAGACACGGAAGTCACAAGGCCTCCTCCATCACAGCTAGAACTGAAGCAGTTGCTCCTGTAACCCAGCTTTCAACAGAGCAGGAAGATACAGCTTTTGGCATGAAAACTAACAACACCTGGTGTTGTAAGGGTGGGAAATGCCAGTCCATTCAACTTTGACATACAAGAGGAACTTTTCCCAGAGAGACAACATATGGCATCCTTTGTAGCTACTTAGAGGACAGAATGCCAACTACAAATATAATTTTTTATTTTAAAGGAGAAAGCCATGTGTCTTTGTCAGGGTTTCTATTACTGTGAAGAGGCACTGTGACCATGGCAACTCTTATAAAGGAAAAACATTTAATTGTGGTGGCTTACATTTTTCAGAGGCTCAATCCATTATAATCATGGCAGCATGGAGGCAGACATGGTGCTGGCTACATCTTGATCAGAAGGCAACAGGAAGTGGTATGAGACACTGGGTGGCATCTAGAGCATATGCGAGACCTCAAAGCCTGCCTCTACAGTGACACACTTCCCTCAACAAGACCATACCTACTCCACAAGGCTGCACCTCTTAATAGTGCCATTCCCTTTCGGGCTATTTTCTTTCAAACAACCACACCATGAGGATTCTTGTTTTGAAAAGATTAAATAACGTTGTTTCATTTATTTTGCATATCAACTAATTCCCCTCCCTCTTTCCCTCCCATCCCTTCCCCTTTCCCATCTACCCATTCCCTCCTCCTCCTCCTCCTCCTCCATCTCCATTCAGAAAGGGACAGGCCTCCCATGGGCTTGCATAAAGAATGGCACATCAAATTGAGGTAGGACCTAGTTCCTCCCCTTACACTGGGGCCATGTGAATTCTTAATCCATATTAAGTAAATAAAATGAGCAGGACATCTGCTGACAGCTGTGGTTGATATAATGCCTTAAAAACTTTTCAGGAATTGCAAGGCACCCTGCTATGTTGTCTTGGTATAAATTACTGAAGGTGCAGTAGCAGCCTGCACATTGTGAAAGTCATTTGTAATTTTTGTCTCCTCTGTCTCCCTGCCTCCAGGTTTCTAAACTTTCCAAGCCTTTTTTCTGGATCAGCAATACATAAGCAAACCTGTTATTGAAAGAGAAAGGATATGGGCTGTAATGTCACAGAAGAAGAAGAAGAAGAAGAAGAAGAAGAAGAAGAAGAAGAAGAAGAAGAAGAAGAAGAAGAAGAAGAAGGAGAAGGAGAAGGAGAAGGAGAAGGAGAAGGAGAAGGAGAAGGAGAAGGAGAAGGAGAAGGAGAAGAAGGAGAAGAAGAAGAAGAAAAAGAAAAAGGAGAAGAAGGAAAGAAATCCTAAGTCATAAGTCAGCTTATACAGGTTCCTGACTTTGCACCTGTCCTAGGCTTTTTACTTCATAATAACAAGAAGATTCAAGAATGGACTTCAGAAAAAAAATAAACAGTTAAATCCTGTACAGCAAGTTATTTTTTTGATGATTTTTTCCAGGGCCCCAATGGATCCATGTAGCATAACAAATTATTTTAAATCATAAGAGCCCAGAAATACCACCATTTTGTATGTTTGTGGCTCATTATTTTATCAAGTTAGTGGACTGTTGTCTACAGTGCTCGTGGAGGAACAGGAGACCTTGCACTTTTTTAAGGCTGAAGGCAATGTGTGGGTGAGTAGGAGAGAGAAGATAAAGAGATTGAAGGACTGATGGCTACCGTTGCTGTCCTTACCTCTTAGTCTATAATAAGCTTGAAGACTTGCTAAAATCTGTCTCAAGGATTCCTGCGGACAGATGTTAACATCGGGGAAAAGTGCTGATCTTTTGGTTCGAAGTTTTGCCAAATTGAATATTCGTCTCATATTTGACGCTTTGAGCATTTTTGCCGTACTTTCAATTATTTCGATTCCTGGGACTTTGTCTATGTTTTTAGTTTCAGAACTGTGTGTTTTAATGGAGGTATCTGTAAGAGAAAAAAGGGATTTCACAGTGAATATATACACTCAAGTGCACATGCTCAGTATGTGGATAGATGAACAAAATAAACAAAAAGCCTCTGGTTTACGACATTTCTATTTTGACACAGCTGACAACTTCAATACCTCAATGACAAGACATTTCTAGAAATAAGAGAATAGTATAATAAGCTGGTCAAGTATATATGTATTTTTAATACCAATATCTCAAATCGCCTTGCCTTTAGGGACTGCCAAATATCAAAACCACTTCCTGCATACTGCTCTGAAACTCACTTCCTACTCTGCACTGCAGCCTCTCAAGGGATGCTATAATCACAGTGGGGGATGGTAAAGCACTGTGGTACCAGCAGTGTAGTCCTGATGGGCAAGTGGAGTGCTTCTAAAAACCTCAGAGCAAAACCACAACAGCAAAGCCTTCCTGCCTTTAATTGGCAGTCCTAGGATTTCTGGAGGCCAGGGTTCAGAAGGTGGTAGTCTGGCTGAGAATATCCTGGGGGCATGGGTGGTCTTTGATAGGACTCACACGGGAAGTTTGGCAGTGGCTGGGGGTGGTAAGTGAAGGGCGGGGCAGGGAGTATGGCGGAGAACACACTTGCAGAGGAAACTCATTGTGATGATGGTAGCTGTGCATCTGGACCCCTCACCACAGCTGTCGTTCACCGAATATTTTTATTTTAAATTTGGACTTGTCTTTTAGCTTGTGTTATTTCACAAAGCCTTTGCTATTTAGATGGTTTGTATGTTTTTTCTCAGTTGATCATTCAGGAGGGCTCTGAGACACAAGGGTAACAGTGCCCTGTCTCTCCTATCACATCACGTCTTTCCTTCCACTCTGCTCTGCCAGCTAAGGAAGTACGGTGCTACTTCTGTTTGGAGGAAAGTGTTCACATTAAGATTTCTACTTGAATGCCCATAGAAACTCTCTCTCTCTCTCCCTTCCTTCCATCCTTTCTCTCTCTCTTTTCCTTCCTTCCTCTCTTTCTTTTCCTTCCATCCTCTCTCCCTCCCTCCCTCCCTCCCTCCCTCCCTCCCTCTCTCTCTCCCCCTCCCTCTCTCCCCCCCTCTCTCTTTCCTTCCTTTCACTTTATCCGTAACATTGGGCTTATTTCATGTGTCCCTCAACTGACGAAAGACACAAATATTGGTGTACTCATACAATGGAAAGCAAATTAGCATTATGATGAAGGAACCACTAAAAAATGTAAATCGTCAGCCAAAATAATTGAGGCACACCTCTCTTAGTTTAAGCTGTGGCCAAGAATACTAGGGGCAAAGACATGGAATTGACAGGTAGAGCCATATGTGAATATTTTGGGGGAAGCAAAGAGCGTGTATTTGGCAATATTCATTAAATTGTACAATTTGTGAAATACATTTTACTTTTTAAGAAGTTGTATCTCATGGCTCAGCGTGTGCTGTCTTTACAGAGGCACATTTGTGTTAAAGAGGGAAGACTCCTAAACTGATGGGTTACTGATAAGATCAAGCAGATCAGTGAAGATCAGTGAAGAGTAGTTCAAATGTTACAGAGTGTAAGAGTTCCTTCACGGCTTGGGTGAAAAGAGTCCGGGTGTATTCTTCATCACACTGAGGTGTCTCACAGAGCTTTTGTGGTCTTGGTTGGTGGTGAGGATCATCCTATCAAACTGGCTTGCTCAATGAGGAGGTTAACAGTATGCTCAGTGGAAATGGAGCGCTGGCTGGGACTTTCTGTTTTCTGAACTATGAGCTCACTTTATGAACTTTTCCACAGGCAGGGTCCCGTCAGTTCTTCTGATTGTTGCTAGCAGCATCTGGAGCCATACTCTCTGCCTTGTTCCTGCTGAAGATTAGCTTTTCTCTTAAGGCAGTCTGTGTTAGGCAGTGTTTCTGGATCAAGATTTGTAGTCAAGGGATATGCTATTGGCTGTTGATGAGTAATCATAGGGGAGGCTGGGATTACCTGGACTGGCCCAGTATTTCTGAGCCTGTGTAGTGGAGTCAACCTGAGTCAAACCAGTGGAATGGCAAATTGGAAGGTGATCAACAAATACTGGGGCAAAGCTGAGCAGATTCCATCTCCCTGGTTTCTCATATTCTAGGATCGTTGACACTCCATTGATCTCTTCCTTTTTTGCTTAAAACCAGCCATAGAGCTCTTTTCTATGTTAGTATTATAGCTCATGTTTAAGTCACAATCTTTATCTGTGTTTCTTCTCCAATCAGTGCTATGCAAGATCTCTAATAGTAAGGCATTTGGACTGCAGTCTAAGGATATTTGTTGGGCAGGCTACACTGACACAACCTGCTTGTTCCCTTCCTAAGGATTTCAAAAGAAAGGATAAAAGGAACTGAAACATAAATGTTACATATTTCAGTGAAGTAAAAACAGAAACAAAACAAAAAAAACCCAAAATGATACCATAAGGGCTAATGAAGTGGCTCTCTGGTGAGGCAACCAGGTATGTAGGATGATACTCTTCATTGTCTTGAAAGTGACAATGTGGCTATTGAGCTTGTTAAGGTTTTTTGGCTGCAGTTTCATAACTTTGGTATTTTTGGTTCAAGAAAGTATTTAGAAAAATAGGTAAAAGTTTAATGAGAATCAGTTGATACTTGAATACTAAGAAAGGTAGCATATTTAATAAGTGACTAGAAGATATATTTTGATACAAGGTTTCTAGCCCGGGCTTGTCTCCAACTTCTTATGTATTTGAGGGTGGCCTTCAAGTCCTGATCCTCCTGTCTTTGCCTCCTGTGTAGAATGACAGGTGTGTGCCACAACATCTAGTTTTTATAAAGTGCTGGTCTTCATTCATGCTACATCCTTAACTCTGTAATATTGGAAATTATTATTATTGAAGTTTTGAAATATTTACTTATTATTTAAATTTCATGTGTATACGTGTTTAGCCTGTTCGTGTATCTGTTCACTCTGTGTGTGCCCAGTGTCCATAGAAGAGGGTACCAGATTGGCTTGAACTGGAGTTAAAGACATTTGGAAGCCATCATGTGGGTCCTGGGAACTGAACTTGGATCTGCTTCAAGAACAACAAGTACTTCTAACTACTGATTGCTGTCCCATGGATATTATTTTGAGGCAGAAAATATTTCTCTAAGATGGTCATAAAATGATAGTTTAGATTGTATGGTGATGACAAGTAACTGACATCTGCAGTTATCTTCAAATGATGTTTGAAGTTACAAAGAAAAGAAAGGGCAATGTGATCCCAAGAAAAACTGAGTAAGCAAACAGTCAGACCAAGACTTCTTGTCCAAGACCAATGAATATAAAACCCTAAATTCAATATATTACACATTTATGAATAATATAGAGCTGCATTTTTTAAAATTATAGAATAAACACAAGAGAGAAACCTTTCTGCTTAGTTTTGGGGAACAGTCATATAATGCAATAGGAAAAATTTGTGTCTTCTCTTCAGTTCTAATATCAGAACCTAGGACACAGCTATATCGTTAAGCATATATAGTCATTAAAAAGAAAATTGAAAAAATCCCTTTTGAAATTAAAACCAAAAGAACAGAATGGAGATGTTTTATATATAAAATATGTTTTAGTAAAGGCAGAGTTTGGAAACAATTGCAAGTCTCTAAAGACAGATAAATAATTAATGGAACTGATTAAAAATGTGGGTATCAACAATGAAGAGGATTAGTGTTGCCTCTGGGGTGACAATTGGTCCTGAATGTGTCTAACAGAAAACTGGCATTTGCTACAGATTTGTAATTCTAAACAAAACTATGCCAGCTTTTCTGCTTTCCCTGCTCTATTTAATGTTCCATCCCTCCCCAATCCCTGAGACAGGATCACACCCTGCAGTTCAGGATATCCTAGAATTTGTCATTATCCTGCCTCATGGAACACTGAGATCACAGATATATGTCACCATTGTAGACCTACACTCATCTTAGTCCCCTCAGCTAGATGTACCTTCTTCTTGTTGTTTCTTCTCAGACTTTCATTACATTTTACTGAGAATAACAGAACGAGAGGAAAACATTGCAACCTTCCATCCCCGAGTCTGCTGTAACTGATTTCTCTATGTGCATGAACGTGCAATTATTCTTCCCATAATTAATCCACTTTCTTGAAACTGTGTTGTCTCCAACTGCTGACTCATTTTTTTGATGTATAGTTCTAATTTATACTGTTTCTATGTATACTGCTAAGTATCTACTTTTATCTATTTTCCACAACAAAGCAGGTCT